GAAGAAATCACATACTCATACTCGACAATTGTAAAATAATTTAACTTGTATCTCCTTCATTTGTCCAAAGACCGGGATGGCCACAAAAGCCTCGCACTTTCATCATGGACACCAATACCTCGAATCAATATTTCAATTATCTCTGGACTTCGACTTCAAGCACTAAATGCCATCTCTTTCGATGATTAAGATGGTGTTTCATAAACAACTTTTTGAAGACTTTGTAATTTACTGGTAAATTAATTTTTCAGTCTCGTAACTGGACTCCTTTATCATTTTAGTCCCATAATTGGAGGCTATCTTAAAATAGTCTCGTAAGTGGAAAATATTCTCAATTTAGTCCTCAATACCAATGTGGCATTTGCGTGGCATGCTGGCGGACATATGTCGGTTAGATCAGCGCCATATGGCTAACACGTATCCGCTACGTTGATAATTTTTAATTTTTAATTTTTAAAAATAAATAATAAAATTAAAAATATAAAATATATAAAAAAAAATAAAATTACAAAATATAAAAATATAAAATTAAAAAATTAAAAAATTAAAATTAAAATAAAAAAATAAAAATTATCCACATGTCCGTCAGATCAGCGCCACGTGGCCGCTACGTAGATAATTTATATTTTCTATATTAAAAATAAAATATACTAATATATAAATTATTAAAAGTCATGTGACACTGACTTGACGGACATATGGATAATTTTTTTTATTTTATATATTTGTAATTTGTAATATGTACTTTGTAATTTTATTTTATTTTTTAAATTTTAAATTTTTATATTTATATTTATATTTATATTTATATTTTTTATATTTAAAAAAAAACAAAAAAAAACATAATCCATGTGGCGGACACGTGTCAGCCACATGGCGCTAACCTGGCCGACACGTGTCCGTCAACATGCCACGCAGGTGCCGCCATATAGACATTAAGGACTAAATTGCGAAAATTTTCACTTACGGAACTATTTTAAAACAACCTCTAATTACAGGACTAAAATAATAAAGGGGTCCAGTTACGGTGAATAAAAAATCAGTTACCCTTAATTTATTGAATATATTTTAGTTGTTTGACCAATCAAAGAATTAATTTAAATATGTGGTAAATTAATTTTTTTTAAAAATAATTTATTGGACACAAAAAATTAATTTTTAAAACGTTGTATACCTCTCAACATTTCAAAATAACTTTTAATTTTAATTATTTTAATTGTTATTTATTTTTAATGTCTCTCATTCATATAGATATATATATATATTAAAATATATTTTATTAGATTATTTATTATTTATTATAATATATTCTAAGTTATAAGAGTGTGTTTGTTTTATAAAATTGTTTGAATGTATATATATTTTTTATGTGAGGTATAGAGAATTGTGTAAGTAATATAAAAAAAAAAAAAAACTATTTTTTTAGTTTCATACTCTTTTATGATTTTAGAATTTTAAATGAGCATTGTCTGAAATAGTTCCGCAAGTAAATTCTTTTCGCTAAAATGATTCTCCGATGCCAGACTCACCACATTGGCCCGACGTTGCTGACGTGAGTGACATGTCATCGCCATGTAGATGTCACATCAGCTATACATAAAAATTAATTTTTTTTTTAATTTTTTTAATTTTGCAAAATGTATTAGTAAACTATGTTTTTTAGTCTGATATCTCCGATCCCCTTTATCATTTTAGTACTTTAAATGGACTATGTCTGAAAATAAACTCGCAAGTAAAATTTTTTCGCTAAAATGGTCCTCCGACGTGTCACTGACGTGAAGATGACATGTCAGCCGCGTTAGCACCACATCAGCAACGGCGGACTAGCATGGCGAATTCGGCACTGGGGGACCATTTTCAGATATAATTTATTTAAAGTCTTAAAATGATAAAGGGGATCTGACACGGCCCGACCGCGTATAACTATGCCCAAACTAATTTCCTTGGCCACAAAGTTCAATACAGAAACAATGGTTCGGAATATAGGTGAAAGAATGGAGAATAAAGAAGAAAGGATAGTGCAGAATGTGAATTTAGTTTGGTTGATGACCAACCATGAGAATAAGTCTCGGATATGAAATCATACCATAGGCTAAAACACAAACAATAGGCTAAATCCCACTGCAAATGATTGGAAGCCATAAAGCGATAGAATCACTCCAAAGACCCGATTTGAAAAAATGGAGGATAAAGAAGAAAAGATAGTGCAGAGAATGTGAATTAATATGGATGATAACCAACCACAAAAATAAGTTTCGGACCTGAAATCAAACCATAGATTAAAACACAAACAATAGGCTAAATCCCATTACAAAGGATTAGAAGCCACAAACCGATGGAATCGCTCCAAAGACCCCATTTGACATATCTAAGTGGGAGGAAATCACATCCTAGCACTAGACAAATATTGAGAGAGAACAATAAAGAAATTTTATTCAAGATTCACTATGCTCTATTACAATGATAGACAAGGACCTTATATAGAGGTCCTTGAGGAAAATAAAAGGCAACAAATAATAAATGAAACAAATAAAAAGTAAGTCTAACTATAAGGAAACAAATAATAACTATAAGGAAACAAAAAATAAGAAAAGTTCTAGATACGAAATTATACTATATGGAAACTTATAATAAAAAGTAATATATAATTAGGTAACTTTGAGATTCTTTCATAATTTTTTATTGTCTTAATCTTGAAGTCCCGACTCTTGTGATCCTGGAGTCGGGATGAATCGGTTGGGTGGCCTTTGAGTCGGATAAAAAGAAATTGTAATGTCTACCACATCTATCTTCTATAATCATTTTTTCTGACCTTGGACGGCCGCGTCACTCCCCTCTTCTTGAAAAGTACTCTTGTTTTCCTAAACACGATATTCCTTGACTCTACGGCTCACAAGAAGACTCAATTTTCCAAAGACAATAACAAGAAAATCTGAAACGAAGTAGACAAGGAAAATATTATAGAGAATGAAAAAATTCACAAATACCACAAATTGATTTTTTTTTCTATTTTCGGATTTGTTTTTTTTGCCTCTTTTTTCAACTTTTTTTTTACGTTTTCTTTCTTCTTTTTTCAAATAGAACCGTGATATCAACCAAGAGATTGTATTAACCTGGCTCTGATACCAGATGACGCGGCCCGACCACGTATAATTTTAACCAATATAATTTTCTTACCCACAAAGTTCAATAGAACAAATGGATTAAGAATATGTATAAAAGAAAAGAGAAGGAAGAAGAAAATAGTGCAGAGAATGTGAATTAGTATGGATGATAACCAACCGCGAGAATAAGTCTCGGACCTGAAATCAATTCATAGATGAAACACAAACAATAGGCTAAATCCCATTGCAAATGATTGGAAGCCACGAACCGATGGAATCACTCCAAAGACCCGATTTGAGATTCTAAATGCAAGGAAATCACTCTGTAACACTAGAAAATTATAAAAGTGAAATTCAATTCAAGATGTCAAAAGGTTTTCATTACAATGATAAGCAAGGACCTTATATAAAGGTCCTTGAGGAAAATAAAATACAAAAAATAATAAATGAAACAAACCAAAAGGTAAGTCTAACTATAAGGAAATAAATAATTAGGAAATTTTTAGATATAGAATTATATTATATGGAAACTTATAACAAAATGAAATATATATTAAGGTAACTTCTAAAAGCCTCCATAAGTGATGATTCCCTTGATAATCTTCCATAATTAGTGATTCTCTCCATAAGTGATGATTCCTTTGATATACTTCCATAATTAGTGATTCTCTCTATAAGTGATGATTCCTTTGATAATCTTTCATGATTAGCAATTCTATTGATCTTTCAATTGGGATTCTTGCGGGTCCCATTGAAGGAGTGTCAGGTGAGGACTAAGTGGTCTCCAAGCATCATCCTTAAATTGATTCTCTATGAAAAATCGTCCGATCAATGCAGTGGCGGATTTTTTAAACTGATGAGCTTGGCTTCGAGTGATGGGTCCCACGGGCATTTGAATGCTTGAAGATTGGACGTCCTCATCAGGATCAGATACATAAAAAAAAAAAAAAAACTGTTTGCCTTATAAAAATAATGAATGTGTATAATATATTAATTGTTTTGAAAAATGTATAAGGTATTTCGACAAAATGTGTGTTATATAGTAGTATTATTATTTTTTTTTATAAATTTAAAGTAAATTTTTTTTTTATATTTGAATTATTTTATTTAAATTTGTTAAAATTAAGACAAAATAAAAAATTATTGTTATTATTAATTTATTTTTATATATAATTTGTTATCAAGAAAATTTATGTTAAGAATGCGTAAAGGAAATTTATTTGAAATTAACCTTTTTATCATTTCTTAATGTAAATGATCGTTATTTGGTCACACGATACAATAATCCATCAGCTTGTTAAAATTTAACAGAGTATATTCACATTAAAAATTATTATCTAAAAACTTATAATATATCATATATATTTCAATTAAAATTAATAAAAACATATAAAATATAATTTCATATTATTGTAATATTAGTATAATATTAGCCAATAGGCACTACCAAAAAACTGTCTATTTGTAGCAGTTTTATGGTCTGTAACAATAAATTTGTAGCAAAAAGTAGTTTTTGTTACGAAAATTGTCGTAACAAAAAAATTTATATTTGGTCAACTTTTATTTTAATTTGCTTCGCTTATTTCTTTGTAACAAATACAATTACAATGAATATCTTCCTAAATATATTTATTACGTAGGTCAAACCGTAACAAAAGAAAAAAATAATATTTATATATAAAAAATTATATATATACATCTAAATATTTTTAAAAAAAAATTAAAAAAAAAACTAAAAAGAAATATGTAAAGACGTGATAACACTTTCATAAATCGGATATACACACAACATCTAAACACTTTACATAATTCGATGTTCATTTCTCCCCAAATTGATAACCATCCCTCATTAACCCTCATTTAACAATAGCTTCGCTGTCGGCCACGGTTCCACCGGCGATGGCTGGCCGTTGTCAGTCCGAAAGATAATCCTAGGCTCGCCCTTGTGTTTCTTTGGGTACCCTGTTGTGTTGCTTCGCTTCGGTCTCTCCTTAGAATTCGAGTGATTCACATCTTGGCCGTGCAGCATTTGTTTTCCGTCCACCTATCGTCAACTGATGCCGGCGCCAGCTTATTGTGCCGGTTTTTTGCTCTCCCTTTCCCCGTCTGGTCTCCCCCATCATTTTTGTAAGTATTGTAGTGTTTCAGTGTTTTGGTATGTCTGTATAATTCTTTTGGGTTGTGCTGGCTTGGTTGAGGTGGCTTGTTGAATGAAGTTGGTGTCTTGTGATTAAGGTTGGGTCCCATGGATCCTGGTTCGTCTTCCCCGTGTCCCTCTTTCGCTGATGCAGTGCCTTCCAATTCACGCTCGCCCGCCAACTGCTCATCAAAATACCTCAATTTTTAATATCTTTCTTTTATCTCATGGCTTGTTATTATATGTAAATGTTGCATTGGAATTAGTTGATAGCTTTTATTGATTTTTTATATTTTCTCTCTTCAATCTAATATATGTATATACAATTATATTTTGGAAATATTTACATTTGGTTTGATAAAATTATCTAATATTAAGAATGTTTAACATATCAATAGATTGGCATTTAATGCTTAAACAAGAATAGTTTTGGTTCTATTCACTTTGTTGTTCATTCTCTATCCACTTGGTTGTTTGATGTTTGGGAAAATGATAGTACATTCTTGTATACCATTTAATTGATTTGGCAGGATCTGAAAGTTCCAAAACTAACACAATTGGGTTGAGGAGAAAAGAGAGTTCATAGATAAATAAAATCTTACTTACAAAATTAATTGGTTTGATTAAATTTCTGCACAATTTGAGCATTCATATATTTGTTGTGAATTTACTCCAACAATTTTTAACTTTTTGGAGTCTATACATGAATATTATATTTATATCGTGGTATAATAATATTTATTGACATCTACATAGGTGAATAAGTCTATGATATATTGTTGTGCTGCTTGATGTTTTGCACTTAAAATTTCTATCAGATGTATTGTGATACAACACCAAATTGAGGATATTTCTCTTATTTGTTTCTACTAAGCTGTCCATCTCATAAAGTGTAAATTCATTTGTAATCTATTTGTGTAGTGTTGATATGATATTGTATTATAATTAGTTTCTTTATAACAATTTTGAGTGCAGACGGTGAAGTGGTGTTGATTATTTCAAAGCAAAGGATAGACCAAGAGAGTTTGGTAACGTATCTATCACCACCAAGTGGATGCAGGCATCAAATAATTCATTGATATACCGATCTTTAGAAGTGAAATACAAGAAGGTGAGACACATGTCTTTTACTTGTTCATTCATTTGAGATTGATTGTTACAGCTAGTGTTTCTATCAAAAATTTCTTGGATCTTGATCAAGAAAGGATTTTGGTTTAGTTTTGCGTAACAATACTCTTAAATAACCAAGTTTTCCTTGCTTTGCAGTGAGAAGAACCACTATTGTCTGTTTTGGTGTTCAGTACCCCGAATGGCCCCATCATGGAGTTCCAAAAGACACTCTTGTAGTGATGACTGTGTAAGAATAGGAGGAAGCACTAGATTTGTATAATTTTTTAGTTAATATGACAGACTTACAATCATCCATGATTTTCAGAATTCAATAGAAACAATTAGATGAAATTCAAAATTTTTAATTAGAACTTATTTTGAAATGTCCATGAACATAAGTGGAATATTAAATATGGCAGACATCATTAAGATGTGATGTTTGCAATGTTATTCTGAGAAATTGAGGTTGTCAGTAATTTATAGTCGGAGTTGATGTTAGTGTATTGACTGACTTAAACTAATAGAAACATGAGAGTTTCATCAACATCATACACGTTGCTTTTGAAAGCGTAGCTATGATGATGGTGATAGGGAAAAAGCTTAGTTAGGTTAAAAACACAATTTACATGTTTGAGATGTCCTTTGATGTCCAGTTATTTCTGTCATGGCATACTAAAGAATTTTAATATTTTGTCATTTGATCGGCATTAATCTGTTGCGTGAAACATGAACTGGAACAAAATATACCTTATTATTACAGGTTTACCTGAGTCAAATGAATATATATTTGTTGAGGCTAATGGTGTTTAAATCAGCAGAGTACATTGGTATATTTTCGTGGACAACAATGTTTATGTATCATGTTAAAATTTTGATATTTTATTTTTGGGAGTTATGTAAATGCACTATCTCACTGATTTTGATATTTCTAGATATGTAATATTGTAGCGGTGGCAGGCTACCTCAATGCAACCCTCATTATCAAAAACTTCCATTTTTACAGCATTTGGAGAGATCTAAGGTTAATCTTATTATTGCATGACTAAGAGATACCTTTGTGAGAAAATTTTTACTTACTCTAAACGTTGTTTACTGGAACAAAGATGAAAATTTATGTGTACGCATGCGAATGTTGGTGCTGATATATATTAACATGATGGTGAAGGCAAACATCCATTATGTTGGGTTCAAAAGGCATCAAATTTAGAGATTTTGGTTCTTGGTTCTGTATTTAATATTTTATTGGTTTACTTATATAGTTTGGATTCACTAGCCATAGACTCAATAACATTAATAATATTAGATTATATTATTTCAAATAGACGATTGATGATGTAATTTATCAATAACTTTAACCACCACACTAAACTTTTTCTATTGTATGGTCATTATTTGACTACTGATAAAAAAACGTGCGGCTTAGTTTTGGTTTTCTTATGTATTTCCATTTTAAGCTAGTATTATTGTTTCCACTTATGTTTCTAAAATGCTATTCTAGATGTACATGTTTCATGTTTGGTTCATCTTGAAATTCACATTGTATCATTGAGGGTATGTTTGATTAGTCTAACCTAGTTTGACAGTTCAAAGGCATACATCATAAAATTCAGCAAGCGTCTCTTTAAAAACATTCTTTCATTACACTCACTACTTTCTATTTCTTAGTTTCTCTATAATATACAAATATATGTTGTTTATCCATTCTCCACTTTCTTCCGTTGATTGACATGATAATTGATAGTTATTTCGATCCATTCTAATTCTACCTATGTAGTGATGTTTCTGTAGTATGCTTTTATGGTGAAATAGGTACCAATAATTAACCAATAAATAATTATTTGTGATTTTGCATTTAGTTTAGCTAACTATCTTCCATGAGTTTAAGGTAGTGATATGTAATGTTCCATTTCAGTGATACGTAAGTATAATGTATGAGTTGAGTTATAAATAAATATTTTTTAATCTACTACTCATCCATGTTGTTTAGAGATGTCATATTTCATCATAACTAGCTTTGGTTTTACTTTTTATATAGGTGATACCCTAACCATTATCAAGGGATTTGTTACCGTTGTTACAGTCCCAGAGACCGCACTTATTATCCAAAGTAATGCCGGAGCGAAGATCCTTGATGAGGTACTCGACGAAGATAACATCAAGTGCACTTATAAGGATGTACACATTTTTTTTAAAATGTTTATTCTTTTGAGAATTAAATTACTCTAGTTGCTGATATAATTTATATATATCATTGGAAACACATTGTAGTTGGTTCGGTGCCTCTGATTGCTTCCTCTGTGATTTTGCACTCGATGAGCTTGGTCGTTCATAACTGTATTTGTTAGTCGACCTTATGATAGTTCTGCAGTTTGATACCATATCTATTTATTCATGTATTACTTTTGGGTTTGGGGATCAAATGTTAGCAAGTTGTTGGTTGTTATGGTGTATGTCATGGTGATTTTTGGAGATGCTTTAAAACACTCTTGACGCCTAGTATTCTATTTTTGACATGAATACAAATGTTGTTGGATTGATTTCGTTCTGTAGGTATGAACAAGGATTTCAGATTAATTATAATAAATTATGTTCTAAATTATTTGTGACGCAGATTGATCCATAACAAATATTTTAACAATTGGATTTTATTTGTGGCGACAAAATCCTTATTTGAGACACGCATACCTTATGTAGCGGAATTTTAGTTACAGACAATAGCCGGTACAAAAAATATTTTACGTTTGCATTAAATTTGTACCGAATTTTTGGTTACAGACAAATTTCATAACAAACAGCGCTCTGACAGGGCACTACTTTTGTAACACATTTTTTGTTACGAACAAATATTGCAAAAAAAAGTTTTCTGACAAGATTCCATATTTGTATCGCATTTTTTGTTCCAAAAATATATCGTAACAAATAGTTTTCTGACAAGATTTAACTTTTGTTCCGAATTTTTTGTTACAAATATATGTTGTTTTAAAAACATGACCGATGCTTTTGTTACGTACAAAAAATACAACAAATACAATTAATACGTGCTTATTTTGAGGGTTGACCACCATTTATTTATTACGGAATTTGTTGCAACATAGACTTTTTGTACCGCGATTTTTCGTAGCGGTCAAAATCCGCAATAAAGTTGACGCAAAAGGCTATTTTGCACAAAAATTGGGTTTTTGTTACAGATTCTTGACCGTTACAAACAATCATTTTTTCGGTAATGAAGAATATTGATCATTTCTACCGCTAACCATTATTTTATATATAGTATAATATTATATTATATAGAGTAGATATATATATATATATAGAAATGTGTAGTGGGTGATATATATATATATGTATTGTGTATGTTTATATATATATATTATATTATATTATTAAGTAGATAGTAGTAATGAATATAAAGAGGCATAGAGATATTGAGAATATGAATTGTGTTTGTGCAGAAATGATTTTTTCCTTCCATTCCATTTACAGGTATTCTCTCCATTTATATACATGTGCAGGTAAATGTTTGGTTGTGAATAAAAGCATCCACGTATCCTCTGTGTCGACATATATGTGTACTATTCGTGTACACTTCATAACACTCCCCCTTGGATGCTTTTGTACAAAGAATGTGTCTAATTAAAACCTTACTATGAAAAAACCCTGTGGGACAAAAAAATCCTAGTGAAGGAAAAAGAGTACAACATTCTTGTATCGATTTGCTCCCCCTAATCTGAGCATTATTTGAGATCCCTGAACCGACGCATTCCAATTTTCTTTACCAATTTTTCAAATGTTGCAGTCGGTAATGCCTTGGTTAATATATCCACCAAATTATTATCTGATCGAATTTGTTGCACATTGATTTCACCATTTTGTTGTAGATCATAAGTAAAAAAGAATTTTTGTGAAATATGTTTCGTTTTATCTCCTTTAATGTAATCCCCTTTCAATTGGGCTATACAAGCCGTATTATCTTCATACAATGTAGTTGGGAGAATTTTATTGTCAGGTGTTAACCCACAATTTTTCAGAATATGTTGAGTCATTGACCTCAACCATACACATTCTCGACTAGCCTTATGTATTGTCAATATGTCAACAGATTTGAAAAATGACAGTTAAAGTTTGTTTCATCGATCTCCAAGAGATCACTGTTTTGCCACAAGTAAATATATAGCCAGTTTGAGACTTGATTTTATGAGGATCCGATAAATATCATACATCAGCAAATCCAATCAATTCATGTCGAGAATCTTTCAAGTAAAATAACCCGAGATCAATTGTTCCTTGGAGATAGCGAAAAATGTGTTTAATCCCATTCCAGTTTCGTCGAGTAGGCGATGAGCCGAATCTTGCCAATAAGTTTACAACAAATAATATATCAGGTCGGGTGCTGTTAGCAAAATACATCAATGCGCCTATAGCACTCACATATGGCACTTCTGGGCCAAGTGTTTCTTCATTTTCCTCTTTTGGTCTAAATGGATTCTTTATTAGATCGAGTGCCCTGACGATCATTGGGGTTCCTAGGGGATGTGACTTATCCATCAGAAATTTTTTCAGTACCCTTTTGATATAATTTGATTGGTGGATAAAGATTCCACTTTCCAATTGCTCTATTTGCAAACCAAGGCAAATTTTGGTTTTTTCAAAATCTTTGATCTCAAACTCCTTTTTCAGATATTCAACAGCTTTCTGGATTTCATCAGGAGTTCCAATTAAATTGAGATCATCGACATACACAACAATAATTACGAATCCTGATCCATTTTTCTTTATGAAAACACATGGACAGATAGGGTCATTTATTTAACCTTCTTTTGTTAAGCTTTCGCTAAGACAATTGTACCACATTCAACCCGATTGCTTGAGCCCATACAAAGATTTTTGTAATTTGATGGAATATGATTCTTTTGGCTTTGATTTGAATGATTCGTGTATATTAATCCCTTTTGGGATTTTCATGTAGACGCCATTGTTTAAAGAGCCATAAAGATAGACAGTAGCCACATCCATTAATCGCATATCAAGATTATTGTGTATTGTCAGACTCGCCAGATACTTGAATGTTATTCCATCTATGATCAGCGAATATGTTTCTTCAAAATCAATGCCCGGTCTCTGGGAAAAACCCTAAACTACAAGTTTTGCTTTATATCTTGTGATATCATTATTTTCAGTTCTTTCTCTCATAAACACCCATCTGTAACCAACAGGTTTCACATTTTCAGGTGTTTGGACTATAGGGCCGAATACTTGTCTTTTGTTTAATGAGTCCAATTCAGACTTAATTGAGTTTTTCAATTTTGCCCAATCATCTCTTTGCTGACATTCATCAACTGATTTAGGTTCATAATCCTCGTCATCTTTCATTATATCGAGTGCTACAAAATATGCAAATGCATTATCAATATTTGTTTTCTTTCTGTTCCAATATTTTCCATTTGTAGTATAGTTAACGGAAGTTTCAATAACTTCATCATCACTTTCATCATAATTTTTAGTATCAACTTCTTCTGGGGTTGTGCTGACCTTTTCATGTATCTGATCATTGTTGATCTCTTCACGAGTGTTTACGATTTTCTTCTTTCATGGATTCTTATCCTTGGAGCCCAACGGCCTGCCGCGTTTTACGCGGGCAATATGCTCATTAGCACTTGGTACCTTCCCTTCTAGCATATTTATTTTAGCTGGTGTATTTGCTGTTGCTATATATGATTTCGTAACTCTGGCAGCATCGTTAAAAGCATGAGGCAATTGATTTGCAATTTTCTGAAAATGCACAATTCTTTGAACTTCAAGTTCACTATGTTTTGTACGATGATCAAATTCAAGTGGTATTTTCCACAAATTTTTTTTTTCAGTTGATTACTGTCTCCCCCTAATGTCGGAAAATGAGATTCATCAAAATGACAGTCTGCAAACCTTGCAGTAAATAAATCACCCGTTGTTGGTTCAAGAGATTTTGCAATCGAGGGTGATTCATACCCAACACATATACCCAACCTTCTTTGAGGTCTCATTTTCATTCGTTGAGGTGGTGCAATTGGCACATAAACACCATACCCAAAAATTCGCAGGTGAGATATATTTCGTACTTTTCCAGATAACAATTGAGTAGGGGAATAACAGTGATAACTTGTCGGCCTTATTTTCACGAGGGATGCTGCATGTAATATAGCATGTCCAACATGATACAAGAAGTTTAGACCTCATCAATAATGGTCTAGCAATTAATTGTAATATTTTGATAAGGGATTCAACCAGGCCATTTTGCGTATGTACATGGGGAATAAGGTGTTCCACAGTAATCCCAATTGACATGCAATAATCATCAAATGTGTGTCATGAATACTCTTCAGCATTATCTAAACGTATTTTCTTTATCGGGTGATCTGGAAATTGTGCTCGAAATTTAATTATTTGTGCAAGTAATCTAGCGAAAGCTAAATTGCAAGTAGATAACAGACACACGTATGACCATCGCGTTAGCGGGTCAATTAGCACCATAAAGTACTTGAAGGGTCGACACGGAGGATCTATTGGTCCATAAATATCACCCTGAATTCTTTTCAGAAAGCTGGGGATTCAAATCCAACCTTTGTTGGAGATGGCATGATTATTAACTTCCCTTAGGTACAGGCCGCACAAGGAAATTCATTCGGACTCAAAATATTTTTCTTTTTCAATGAGTCGCCATTTGAATTTTCAACAATTCGCCTCAGCATTACATTGACCAAGTCAATCGTGCCAAGTTTTAAATTCGCTAGTAGTCATTTGGTCTAATAGGTGATATGTTTCAATGTCACTGATTTTTTAGTAATATAAGCCGGAAGAAAATGATGGCAACTTTTCTTTTACAATTCTTTTGTCATTCACAATCTGAGTTATCAGGAGATACTCATTTTCTGCCTCATTTAATGTTTCAATGTGATACCCATTTTTCCGAATATCACTGACGCTCAGTAAATTCCTTCGAGGTTTGCTCGAGAACAGTGCATTTTCAATTGTCATTTTTGTCCCTTTAGGAAGAAATACAGTAGCTTTTCATAAGACTTCAATCATTTTCGATGCACCACTGATAGTAACAATAGTGGTATTCCCATATTCAGATGGGAAAAATAACATTAGTTTTTCAGAATGTTGTGAGTCGTAGCACTGTCGATAAGACATATATCGGCATCGGCTCCAAAATATTTGACATCCATATCTTTACAAGAAGGTCAAAATAATAAAAGACATGTATTAGTAACATAATCAAAATAGACTTATATTATAGGGGTAATACGAAAAGGAGGGTATAA